CGGCTCCCCATTAGTTACTGAACTCTTAAAACTGGTATTGTAACATTACCACAATGTTTTGCGCCAATTTTATAAACTTTACAGTGCAAAAAAAAAATTGGATGGAATCAAGCTGGGGTATTAAGTTTATGTGTTGCTGTATAGGCTTTATTGCCACCTGCAATGGAACAGGCCCTTGCAGTGCTATGTTGCTAGAGATGCATGTCAACTTTATTTGATTCCATATCACTCAGATTCCTCATTATTAATCAGCTCATTGTACAGCCCTGGGAAAATAATGCTTTTTGTCAAAACAACTTTAGAACTGTGGTTTTCTCAGTCCATAGACATTCTAGTATACACCAAACTGCTGTCATTTTCAAAAAATTGCTTTCTTGGGAGTACAACAGCTATATACTGGAGTAAAAATTGGTTACCGTTGCAATGCTACATGAGCACAGCTCTATGGTGGCAGACAAAACAGAGCTCTCGTAAGAATTTATAGGAGCTCCTATTTGAGCAGCTTTAAAAGAACAATTTCTGAGAGAGAGAGAGAGAGAGAGAGAGAGAGAGAGAGAGAGAGAGAGAGAGAGAGGATTACCTTGATTTTCTGTTCCCCCTGCCTCCATTTTTTAAGTGTTGAAATTACAGATATGGGCCACTGCAGCTGGCTCCACTTTTTTTGTGCTTTTGGTAATTACGTATTATGTACACTAAGAACGAAGTAAGTACCTAAACATGCTATGTGAAAGTTAACTTTTCAGATATAACCTAGCCAGAGATTAATATTCTATAGAAATAAAAAAATATATATGATGGCATTTGCCAAGCTAAATTTGGATTGATTCATGATCATAGTTACTGTCTTTTTTTCTGAATTGTCTCCCTTGGAATGGGAATACCCATCTTCTCTATGTCTGTGCCGCCTCTCTATGCTATGACCAAATTATGGTTTCATAGCTGTGCAGTTGAAGAGTGACTGGCAAAATACACCACACAAAAATTAGTAAAGAATTGGTGAGGTGGGACTCAGGGTTGAAGAAGGAATGAGTTAGATGGGAGGTATTTGGGGACTACTAAAAACTTGGCTATAAATGCAGGAAGTGGAGAGTTATGCATTTAATTTTCCTCTTCCAATTACTTACATGCTTCATTCTTAATCTTCAGTCAGCCTCCAACCTACATGTGAGGATAAGGTCATAAGACTCTAAGGACATCAGGAATATATAGAGAGATGAGAAAGTTAAAGTCATTAGTGTATTGCATTTAATTTAGTACTCCTAGTATCCTAAGAAGAGGAAATTATACTCAGATTTGGGCACACAAAAATGCCAACTCAAGAAAATGATAATCTATACACTAAGGACTGATGCCTATGGGAGGGTCTACTGCCATTGACCCATAACCTCAGACTCCTGTACTCCAGACTGTATGGAGAGAGTTCTCTGTACAAGAACTGAAGTACTCAAGTAAGAAAAGAAATAGCCCATTATTGGTTTTCCTGTAATGAATAATAATTCTGCAGACATAAAAGGGTATGTGTATAAAAATAGCTTCAATGAAATGCCAAAACAAAAAGGTGGCTTATTTAATAGTGAAAGGCTACTGAAACTAACAAAACCTTTATCTGAGACACACTGGAGCAGATGAAATAGAATTTGAAACAAAATTACATGAGGAAAACTGTAATTTCCTCTTTTCCAGGTATGTTTTTCCAAAATGAGACCACATTGGGATTTTAGTTTAATCTCTTCTAAAACATAGTATTTTCATGTATTATATTTTTAGGAGGAAAATATATATTAGTTATTTCAAAAAAATGAATATGGCTCTAAAATCAGATGTGTTTTAATTATCATAGTGATCATATAAGACACCCATTTCTTTTGCATTTGAAGATAACTTTTATTCTGAGGAATTGTTTTCCTTGTATTAAACTCACTATAAGCCATGAATCCCACAGGAAACCAGGTCAATGAAGGGGGAGACAAACTTCATTACACCCCTCACCCTGATTCATGACTCCAGTATAGAAGTTGCTGAGATGCATATGTTGGGAAACATTTTGGAAAGAATAAGATGAATGAGGAAAATGTTGATCTTCTTAATTCCTGCATTCAATTGATTCCTTTTTAAATATGGAAAGTATGAGCAGATCAAAGGTTAATTCTAAAATTTGTTTCATTACTTACCATTAGATAACTAATCCTTAAACCATAACGCATGAAAAGTTTTGTTAAATGTTATACTAGCTTTGACCAAGATGAATTCTCTCAATTTATTTTTGTTGTCCTTTAGTTGCTTTTCTGAGGATACCAGAGAGATACATTTCCTTGCCTCTAGAGAGATACTCTGAAGAGCTGCTCTTTACATAGGAGATTCACTTACCTGGCTAGATGGGATTAATTTAGTTTAAAGCTCCAATGAAAAAATTTCCACAAATAATTTTGGTCATTATGATTCAATATTTAGATATTTCAGGAAATACAGACCAGAGAGATGTTCTGTTTACTTGACATACATTTTATAAAGACATTGTCACAATCAAGACACATGGGAGGAAATGTCTTCTGACAAACATCTAAGGTTTTAACCCTCATTAGTTCACAGTAGATATTTATTAGACAGAGTAATTGAGCCAGTAATCATTTTCTCTGGTGTAACAAAGAAGGTATTAAGAGAAACAGAGGGAAGAAGACCTATGGAGAAGCCCACTATGTGTAGGCCAAAAAATCCAGGAGGGTATGGACAAAAACATTTTATGAGACCTGTAGCCTCTGAAACTAAGAGGAAGTTCCTTTCCAACAGGAGTTAAGCCACTATGCATTAAGGTTTTACTGACCATGTACACATCGGAGTTTGAGGAGGTTTTTAGAAAGAAGCACTGAAGAAAAATATTTGCATGAAAGGTACACAAGATTTTGAGATGTTTGGACTGAGAACTTCATGTGTACACCTCCACAAACAGTATTCTCTCATCTGGACTGATTCATTCCATTTGGCAGACATATTGAATTTTCTGAGATTCTGGTAGCTCAGCATCCAGTCTGGCTTATGAGGATCAAGATTGCTGTGGGATACAATAACACATCTTGTTCCAATAATGAGTATTATAATGAAGCTGAAAGTAGCAATGGGCATTGATAGATTCCAGTATTAATAGATGACACTCTTATAGATATGGCAAGTAATGGTATATTATTTGACTATTGTGTATCAAAAATTTTATTTCTTTTAATGTGTACCACTGGGCATTTAAAGTTAACTTATGTGATACACAAAGATTGTATTTTAGTAAGGAAATAACATGACTTCTGTTGTCAGTCTTTTTGGCTTCAAATCTACATGCATCACTATACTGCTGGTAAGATCTCCTGGACTAATTTTTCTTCATCAGCAAAATGACAAGAAGGCTGTAATCTTCCTTACTCATTCACTAATCTTTTCAATAATTCCATATTGAGAATGTTTTTGTATGTCTGATACACTTTGATAAATGAAGCCTTTGATAATTTAAGAAATATTTTACTCTTCAAACATATTAGATGCATATTTCAAGCATGTTTAAAAAGAGAAAATTCATCAAAGTATCACAGCTATGAAATAAAATACAGAAAGGATAGGGCCTGTATAATTCTACATGGAAAGAAGATAGGAAGAGATGTTCACCATCACACAAATAAGGAAACAGACAAACAAGAAGTGACTTGTGGAACACATCAGCACTTCATGGATAAGGAACACATAATACAATGTGAGAATTTGGACTATTAGAGATATCTACGTCCAAGCCTAAAGACCTCCTAGAATGTGGTTATGAGAACCAAGGTATGGTTAAAAAAAATACTGGGAATGAAATCATCTTCATGCATTAGCAAACTCCATACTGACTGAAAACAGATATCCTGGAATGCTCTCAACAGGCAGTATTTTGTGTCTCTTGTATCTGTTGGAAATATCAAGATGACTGATATGGAGCTCACCATTGTGTGTATACCCAGCTCCATGGTATCTGATACCTTCAACCTCTGCAGGCATGGGCATTCATATGCAGCTACAGACACATAATTAGAATTAATTTTAAAGAGTGTTTTAAAAGTTGTGGCATGGTTTTCAGAACAGTTATAAGTAAACCCTAAAAGGAAGAATGAACGATTAAAGTGTGTGTGTTTAATTGAGATATGAAACTCTGTTTGAATTGATAGTATGATTGAAGGATGTCTAGTGAGAAGGAGAAATAATCTGGACATTAAAAATATAGATCCATTGTCCATGCTGTTAGATTGTGCAGTTGATATGTTGGTATAAGACATGGTTGACATTACTTACACAGAGATACAAGTCTGTTTGCATACTTTTCAAAACGTTAAGAATTGTTCTCCATAGAGTAACTGTTTGTTCTACTTTATTGACTGTGTGGTCCTACTTGAGCAGGTGGTAAAATCATGTGAAATAAGGAATGAGACAGATTTACAATCATCATTAACCCATCTGTGTGTCTGCTTCACATTTTCCAGGTGTGGCTGGGGACTGGAAGAATCACTTTACAGTAGCTCAAGCTGAAAACTTTGATAAAGTATTCCAGGAGAAAATGGCTGGTTTTCCTCCAGGACTGTTTCCATGGAAATAAATTCTTAAAACTTTAAAATCTTACATAGACACTGGTGTTTATTTTCCTGTCCTTATACATGTGACAGAGTGGGTATGGTCATAGAATACATCCTATTATTGAATTGTGTAGGTTTTTTTTCTAAAATGTATTAGTAGTAAAAATAGCAGTATTTATAGGGGTAGAAGTAGTAGAATAGTGGTGGTTGTTTTATGTGAATGTATGTGTGTTTGTGTGTGTGTGCATTGTGCATGTGGGTGTGCACATACATTTCTGTACGTAGTACATTTAGGGATGGGAAGAATGCATTGTTTCCCCATAGAATTGCCATTATGTGTGCTGTAAGCTCCTTTCTTTGTGTCCTAGGAACTAAATTCAGGTCTTCTATGAGGTAGTACAGTGCTCTTAAACTATGAATCATCTCTCCAGCCCAGAATCTTGTAGACTTGAGTCATCAAATATGTGTTCCTATTATGACTTGTTTACTATACATTGCCAGTTATGTCCAATTTGCTTCACAGAATTCCAGCTTAAAATAACCCTTGTAATATATGAAATACAAAACACACTACAGAAGTTTGTAGATAATTTTCAGTCTGTGTCATTTGGCCAAAAATTAATAAATTGTATTTATAGAGACATTCAAACCTAATTTAAGTAGTCTATGGTAGATCTTTATAAACTTACATTTCTGCTCACAATTGTATATTTGCATTTCAGTTTTTTCTTCTTTTTGGGTAATTTTTACTGGGTGTATACAATAATGGGTTTCATTAGGAAACTTTGGTTCATACATGCACATCATTGTCATTTTCTCAATATTACTCCACTACTGCCAAGTGCCATATGTTCACTTATGATAGTACTTTCTCCTCCCACACAGGGCCTCTCTGCTTGTGTGTCCTATAGACACACTTATATTTAAATATGGATGTTCAGAAAAACAAGTAATGCAATATTGTCTTTCCTTTTTATGAGTACAGGGAAGGTATTTCTGGTAGATAGGATGGAGAATACAGCCAGAGGCATATAGAAGAGTCCAGAGTAGAGAGAAAAAGTAGTAGACAGAACATGGCCAGCAGAATAGTCCAGGCTACTAAGTGGGGAGCAAGAAATCAGGAATAAAACAGAAGGAGCTGAGAGAAATTGGCCAAGAAGACCAGAAGAGCCAAGGGGGTTGTGGTCAAATTGGCAGGGTTATATACAAATCAGAAACTGGGGAATAAAAGTCTATGATCTGGAAATGTTTAGGATAGGGACTGGGGTGAGATGAGCAGAGAGGAGACAGGATACTGGATACTTGTGTGAACTCTGTAACAGGTATTTGCTGTGAGAAAATGGAGGCAAACATGTACTTTGGTACTCTAATAGGCACCAATTTAGCCATTTATCCTGAGTTTCTTTTTTTGCCCTGTCATACCAGACTTTTTGTTGATGATAAAGAACTATGTAATCTGTTCTGTAATGGTATTTTCATGACCTGGCAAGTTTGAAGTGCTAATCAAAGGTTGGGAGGAAGGAGAGAAGTTAAGACTTGGAGACATATGTTTTGATTGCTTCCTAGGTTCTGAGGGAAAACCTTGGGCAAGCAAAGTGCTGAGAGCTTTAGAGCAGTCTGAAAATTCTGGTTAAAGTCGGAGGCTTAGGCTAGTTTGGAATTCCTTCAGAAACATCAAGTTTACATGGTTTATAGCAAGTTTAGGGGTAGCTTATTTTAATTTGGAGCAGTTTATGTATTTAAAATAATTAGAAAGCTAATGGGATAGATATAGACTAGAGAAAGAAGATAAAGCTAAAGAGCATAGTGGAAAAACTTTTTCTTGTGTTTACAAACTTCCAGATCTATAGGTAGTTGGGGTGTGGAAGTAGTCTGAAGACTAAGGGTAGCAGAGAAAGTTAGCTAGATGGAGAGATAGATAGATAGATAGATAGATAGATAGATAGATAGATAGATAGATGCCAAATTTAGGAATTGACAGTAGGTAAGTAGGGAAGCTTAAGCTGGTGAGATTGACAGGAGTACTTATCTAAAACAGAAGTTATGACAGATGGATCCAAGACATAAATCCTTGAAACTTAATTAATCAATTAAGAAACTTGATATCTTAAGTTTACACAATGAGATGAAAATTTTGGATATATTAGCATTGCTACTGCTTATAATCTGTACTGAAATTTTCACTGTTGAAGAATCAGTTAACAGGTGTGTGACACAAATTGCTAAATGGTCTTATTAATAAAAAAAAATCCCAGTGCCAAATATTGATATAAAAGTTAAAAGATCAGAGAAACAAAACAAGCCAGATACATTCTTACCTCTGGGAAATCCTCGGCCTCAAGACAGACTTCTTCTTTATTCAGGCCTTGTATACCCTTTTCTGCCCTGGCATCTTACTTCCTGGGAAAAAAGGCTTGTATGTATGCTTCCCAAGGAAAGACATGAGATCTCAAGAGTTGGGATTAAAGGTGTGTTCCACCACATCTAACTCTGTTCCCAGTGTAGCCTTGAAATCACAGAGACTCAGACAGATCTCTGTCTCCTGAGTGATAGGTTTAAATTAAATAGTACTTCACAGGTGTCTTTAAAACATTTATAGTAGACTCATCCCTTAGAGTCATATCAAAACCCATGGTTATGGGTTAAAACCATGAACATTTTTCCTCTGTCCAGAGGATAGATATATAAAGTTTAGAACAAGTTGTTTTCAGCACAATGTGAAGCATTTTTTAAGTCTATCCCTAGGGGAAAAAAAAACAAAGGAATTTCAAATTTCTGGGCTCGTGATTATGATAATAGTAGTGTTTTAACAAGGCTAGATTAATAGCTTATCAGAACTCCATTGATTAATGTTAAAACTCTGAACCTTCAAATTTTTAGTATAATAATAGCATGGACAAAAGAAAGAAATATGAAACATTTTACATTTTTCCATGCCCTTTGCACTTCTTAAATCATTTCCTTAGACCCTCACAACTTAATCATTCACATCCTCTGACCTTTACAACTTACTTTTTCATACTTGAAATTACTTCCTTAGACCCCACGTCTTAGTTATAGTTTCTATAGCTGTTGAGACAACATGCCCACAGTAACTCTTTTAAAAGAACACATTTTCAGTTTCAGAGGTTTAGTCCATTATCTTCATGGCAGGAAACATGCAAGTGTACAGGCAGAAATGGCACTGAAAAAGGAGATGAGAGTTCTTCTTCTTGATCTGCAGGCAACAGGTAATGAGCATAATCCCACACAGGGCATAGTTTAAGCATATAAGAACTCAAAGCCTACACCCACAATGAAACATCTCATCCTACAAAACTACACCTACTCCAATAAGGCCACAGTTCCTAATAGCTCCACTCTATGTAGGACAGGCATTTGGTCACAAGAGTCTATGGGTGCCATACCTATTCAAACCACCATATGCCACTCCCTTGTACCCATATTCTTGTAGCCATACATAATACAAAATACAGTTAGTCCAATTACAAAAGTTCCCATAGTCTCTGACAGCCTCCACAATGTTTAAAGGTCTAAAGTTCAAAGTCTCTTCGGAGATTCATGCAAACTCCTAGCTGTAATCTCATTCAAATTGTAACCAGAGAAAAGGTTGCAATATCATTAAGCTCATGAAAGATTAAGAAAGAGACAGAGAAGGTAAGTCTGGTGCTGTGGCAAGGAAACTCAAGGAAGGTTTCAAGTAGATGTGAGAATTGAGAAATCAAGGGACAGAGAAAATTAAGTGACCTGGTTACAAGAATTTCAATCTAGGGCATCCTCAATTTGATTGAGAAACTTGTGAGAGACAAATGTCCCATCCCTTTGCATGTGATAGGAACACTGTATAGTGAAACAAACTTTCTGGTACACCGTATGGCTTTTGTAGTAATCCAACAGAGACAATTCAGGCATCTCTAGGCTGACACTGACCAAGTCCATCAAAGATAAGGGATGAAAAAATGAAGAGGAGAAAACATCTACAGAGGTAGATTGGGAGATACTTCTAGGGAAAGGGAAGTTTCAAATAGAGAAAGGGGGCTGTGTCTTAGTAGAGAGATTACCAAATGGTGGGTGACCAGGGAGGTTATCAGGCTTCAGGAGCCAGAAATACCCAGTGATGGTTGATGGGTTCACAGAAAGGCAGAGGAAGCTGCAGGAGTTAGAGAAACAGAGAGGACCCATACTTATTAGGCAAGGAGAGAAAAACATTTACCACAGATAGAAGGAA